TCTCACATAGACCAGGTACAGCGTAACACACGCATTTTTCACGGAATTCACAGGACGCGACCACGCCCCTCTCGCGAGATTTCCCAGCTGGAACATTCAGGTGACTTTATAGTTGTTCGTCCAACTGGTCTAGTTAGAAACTGTGGACAGATCAAGGACGAAGAACATGTTCCAGCATGCTACAGTATCTTTAAGAAGGACACCCGAAAGATAACTAAGCTGCCAAGAATAGCGCTTGAACTGTGAGAGTTGACGACGTTCTATTCACTGTGAGTGACAGNGACCTACAAAATTTATTTCGACGTATGTCCCTTGTGTATCGTTGATTTCATCAGCGCCTCTTGTGAGTTTCTGTCCTGTTACTTGTCTCTTCTATGTGCTGTTTTCAAGCCAGTTTTCCCAACTAGATCAGAAGCCGTTGTGTGTCAGTTGGCGTGGAAATACGGGAAATGCGCTGAGTTCTATTTGGGAGCCGTCGGCAAGTGGCACCCGCCGAATTCTCAGATGGATTTCCGCCACCATCTCGTGGATAACGGCACAAGAATGAACCTGTCCTCTGTAATCTGCTAATCAGCCGTGGGAGCTGCTCTCACAAAGACCAGATACATCGTAACGCACGTAATTTTCACGGAATTCACAAAACGCGACCACACCACTCCCTCGAGATTTCCCAGCTGGAACATGCAGGCGACTTGATAATTGTTCGTCCAACTGGTCTAGTTAGAAACTGCGGACAGATCAGGGACGAAGCACACGTTCCCGCATGCTACAGTATCTTCAAGAAGGACACCCGAATGATCACTAAGAGAAAGATCACTAAGATGCCAAGGATACCGCTTGAATTGTTGTATTCACTGTGAGTGACAGTCCGATTGCAAAAATTTCGTCAGAAGTCGGGGTGACAACATCCAGTCACATGCTTTCTTTTTCAGGAGTGCACCAATCAGAAGGCTTTGACTTCACCCACTGTTGACGAAACATTTGTGATCAAGTTTATGCGCTCGGCGGTCAACATATATTGGACATTTACAACCAGTTTTCTGGCAACCTTCCCCTCAACATCATGATGTAATTGATAATGTTTCTTACGTTCAGTCAGTCCGTTTGCTTGCCTTTCCAATTTGGTCGCGCACCTTCATTGACAATTTGGGTAGCTACGCATTGAAGTCGATAGCTTTGATACCCGAGCGCCACTGATCGCGCGGTTAGGCCATTTCCACCAATGTTATAAACCACTGGTGATCTGAGTCTCGGAGTCGCCATCCAGGGACGCGGCAGTTTCCCACCCGTCTTAGTTTACTTGTCAGTGTTTTCGTACTCCGTTGCCAGGTCATTCACTGTCCGTCTGTCGGTCGCTTCCACTCAGCTCATTTGCACTCGGATCAGCTTGCACTTGAGCCTTACAATTAAAGATATAAACACTTACTGCCGAATACACCGTCAGCATGTTCCAACTGGGAAAAGGTAGGCAAATTTCATGACCAGGAGTCCAAAGCATTGAGAACATAAGGGGCAGTCCAGCAAGGGTGCAGAAAATTCCATCAGGTGTAAACGCAAAATTATAAACGTCTTCCTGGCGTGTGTTTCGACATATTTTAGGTCACATTTCATCAGTTTG